GAAACCTGACACTTTTGGCATGAAAGCTGGCTGGGTGACCTTGGGCCAATCACTGTTTTTTTTTTCTCTCTCTCTCTCTGAGTCCAGCCTACCTCACAGGGTTGTTGTTGTGGGGAAAATAGGAGGGCGAGGGAGTTATTAGATATTTTTGCCCACTTGACTTATATATAAAAAGGCAGGATAACAATCTAATAATAATAAGGATGAGTATAATTGTTAGCAATTACAATGTAGTCATGCTTGAAAATGGTAGCTTTGTTGCCCACAGTTAAATTTTCCAGCATGCTATTTTCCCCCCCTTCCCTAATATTTGTGCAGATGATCTCTGGAATAATTTTTTTTTTAAATCACCCTCAGTTCTATATGCCCAGCTTTTTGTGTTCCAGCAGCTATTCTTACAGGTAAGATATATTATATTTATTCTGTTACTGAAGTTGTACATTTTATCGTTTTGCTTTTAATTATCATAAACTGCATGGAGTCATTCGATTGAGTACGTGCGTGTGTGTGTGTGTGTGTGTGTGTGTAAACAGGTAGTCCTCAACTTATGACTACAATTGGGCCCAAAATTTCTGTTGTTAAGTGAGAATTTGTTACGTGAGTTTTGATTCATTTTATGACTTTTCTTGCCACATTTATTAAGTGAATCGCTGAAGTTGTTAAGTTAGCAACATGGTTGTTTTCTATATAGTTTTTCCCCTCTTTTAATTTTCTCAATTTTATTTTGATTATCTCATCTCAATTCAAATCATTATATTTATACTTTTGTCTGTTCTGTTTCAATTTCATATTATTTTTTCTCATTAAACAAATTTTCTCCTGTAGTTACTAATTGGAGTATGACACCTTTATATCTTTTAATTACATCCATTCAACTCTTATTTAAACTTCAATATATACCTTAAGTTTATGACCTTCAATATAATACATAAGTTCCAATCGAATTCTGCTTGGCACATTCTTATAATACACACTATATTCTTTAAAAAAGAAAGAAAGATTGTAAATATATGTAATTATAAACCCTCATTCCATTCCAGTTCAGTTCTATCATTAATAATCATTAAAATCTTAACATCTTTAACACTTCTTTTCAATTAAATATCATACTTCCTTAAAAACACATATAATCTCCATAATTAATTTTTCCCTTATTTCTCTTCACATATGTTTTATAAATCATTAAATATACCTTTTGTTACATTTATTTATTGACAAGCATTCCACTGAATTACGATAGCTATATTATCAGACATTTTAATCATACATTGTTTCATATTTTTAAAAATTATTTCTGCTTCTAATATAACCATACTATCTTATGTACCTTTGCAGAATCCCTTTTTCCATTAAGTTTTCACCCATTATCTCTAAATAGGCCCTGTTTCTCTATATTTTGCTTCTGTCCTTTATAACTTCTTTTCCTTTCTTTCTTCCCTCTCATCTTCTCCCTCCCCTTTTTACCCCCTTGTCTCTCTAGTTCTAATTCTATCTTCTGCATTTTTTTTTTTGGACTTGTTTTTCCCAATCTTAAACTTTCCATTCTTTTTCCCCCCTTTCCTTTTTTCCCCCATCTAAGATTACTTGTTCATTAAAGATGGCTTCTTCTTTGTCGCAATCTTCTTGTTCTGTAGGCATTTCTTGTTGTTTCTCATAATTCCAAATCTCCATTTCTAAAAACTGAAATACGAAGCCGAAAGAACCTCTCCCTTCTTGTGCATCTTCTTTGTACTTTTTCAGTTCTTCTAAAAGTGGAGCCATTTTAAACAGTTTTAAACAACCACCCAATTGATTTTAGTCATTCAAAACAATAACCAAGAATCCAGAAATCATCAAGTAATCCAGATAGTCTCGAGTTATATCTTCTTATTTCTTTTTCAACTTTCTCTTCCTGGGGTTTTTGTTGCAATATTTCAGTTAGAATGTATCTTTTGGAAGTCTTGTTGAGATTTTGCTGTAAGTTCTTTTTTAATTCCAGGTAGTCTCCTCCCTTCCAGATCCTACCCTTTTATTCTTTTTCTCTCCTTTCCTGTTTTCAAAAGCTTTTAATTATCCAGAAATCGTTATTATCCCTTTGACTTTTTATTTTCAGCATTAAATGCCTATTGATGTCAAAGTGGATTTTTTTCCAATTTCTTAAGCAAGTCTCTTAGCTGTCAGTATAGGAAAAGGAGAAAACCAAATCTTTTCCCTTTCCTCTCTCCTTCGCAGCTTAAAAATCTTCTTAGGGAACAATGTTATTGTTTTTTAACAGTTTCAATTCCAGGGTACCTTATTTGTTGCTTTTGCTGTTTGACCCGATCAACCAAAACTTTCTCTTCTTATCTTCCTCCTGCACATTCTTTTCCGGTCGAGTTCTTCTTTGTGGTGGCCATTTCTGACCACCGCTGCAACCGCCTTCGGGAAAGGGAGTAATGGCTAGCTGGGGAGGAGAGATGCGGCTCTCCTCAACCCTGCTGGCAGTCTCCCTCTTCTTCACCACCTCTACGGGGTGGCTTAGCCCCGAAACCAGCCGGCTTGGGGCGCTCCAGCGGTGAGCACGGATCGAAGCCTCGCAGAGACGAGGTTTCGGTCTGTCGCTGAAGAAGCTCAAACCGGAAGTCCCAAGCCTCTGAATTTTGATCACATGATCATGAGGATGAGGCAAAGGTTGTAACTGTGAAAAATGGTCATAAGTCACTTTTTTTAGTGCCGTTGTAACGTTGGACGGTCACTAAATAAACTGTTGTAAGTCGAGGACTACCTATATAGAGGGTACCTGCAAATTATATCAGTATAGGAAACATTCCAAACAGGCACTTTGCTTTCAAATTCAAATTGAAACCGTCATAAAGTGCTGCCTCTAAAAACTCCCTGTTAGTGGCAGGCTTGTTTTCTAAAGAGCTGTCTAATAGGAAACAGCCTACACTAGTCTAAATCTGGTACCTTCCCCACCCACATACACAGTTGTGTTGAACTATCCTTGTCAAAATCCACATCCAGATTAAGAGTGATACCCTTGCACTGTAACCTCAAATGACAGAAATTCATTCTACGTCATAAATAGACCAATTTATATAAACTGGATTTATTCCACTGTATATCCAATATCAGAAGATATTCCTTACAGCTACCAAATTCTCGTACTGTGAGAATTGTAACAAAACAAAACAAAAACCCCCAACCCCCATAGAAATAGTAACTACTAGAAGGAATAAAATGTGTACATAGCAAAACAAAACAACATGAAAAGATTAATTTAGGCTCTTATTTTAGAAAAATCTACAGGACAATTTCTCATGATCAGCCTCACCTTGTAAATTATATTTATTACTGTTTATTTGCATTTCTACATTAAGGCTTTTGGTTTTGAAAAAGCAAAGCGATAGTGCCTGAATATGAACAAGCATTTTTATAACTTATGAGTCATGGCATTTAATATTCTTCATCAGCATTAGTAGATATTTATTTACAATAATGCTTTACAGCTTATCTAGCACCAGATAAATTTCATATTGCAAAATCTCTGCTGAGCAGAAACAGTGTATGCTCATTTGCATTTCAATTTACTTTGAAAACAGTGAAATCCTGCCCCCTTATGGACCGCCACAAAATCAAGGCATGCCTCCTATGCTGGTTTTCAAATTATATTGGAAAAGAAGTCATTCTTAGTGGATATAAAATATAAGGTTTTATAGAAATGTAGTTGGTGATACTGAGAGAGATTTTTTAAAAGTTAATTTCAGCTTTCCAAACAGTGACTTAACAAACCATCCTGTTTTTACATTTCTAATATGCCATCACCAATACTTTTTATTATTCACACGATAAAGGTCATAAAGCCAGAACATGTATCCTGTTTACATTTCATTTACTGATTAATGAACACTTGAGTGCAGGTGTAAGAACAACCCTTATGTGAAGTTCCCATTATTGTTGAATGCATTTAAAGAAGACAAATAAGAAAAGTATAAATGTTTGGTTTGTATGAGCTGTACCGACTATCATGAAGAGCTTATTCAATCATAAAAAAAAACCTATTCTATATATAGGCATAGGTGTCTGTTCTTAATCACGAAGGCACCAAAATAACAAAATACTCCCAATGACATTATAATACAAAGCTTGGCTTCTTTTAACTTTGAAACTTGATATTGTAGGCAAGTATATAAGGCAAAGGTCTTCAAACTTGGCAAGTTTAAGACTTGTGGACTTCAACTCCCAGAATTCCTGACTGGAGGATGAATTCTGGGAGTTGAAGTCCAAATCTTAAAGTTTGAAGACCCCTTCTTCTTGAAGTCTCAAGTGATGGCGCTCCCACAACTTCCGAGGGCAAGCTGTTCCATTGGTTGATTGTTCTCACTGTCAGAAAGTTTCTCCTTATTTCCAGGTTAAATCTCTCCTTGTTCAGTTTCCATCCATTATTCCTTGTATTATTCCTACAGGCGCTTTAGAAAATAGCTTGACCCCCTCCTCCCTGTGGCAGCCCCAAGACCGCTATCATGTCTCCCCTGGTCCTTCTCTTTACTAGACTAACCAAGCCCAGTTCCTGCAACTGTTCTTCATATGTTTTAGTCTCCAGTCCCCTAATCATCCTGGTTGCTCTTCTCTGTACTTTTTCTAGAGTCTCAACATCTTTTTTATAATGTGGTGAACAACACTGGATGCAGTACTCTAGGTGTGATATAAGGGCAGGTCATAACACACATTGCATTCCTTGCCTCCCCCACCCCAATTCCTAGGGATGCCTAAGATAATAACTGAGTCTTAATAACTCTGCAATGGACTTCAGAAGGGGAGGGCCACCCCCAAATGTACTGAGATGCTTCTCACCATGTCACTTGAGTCAGGATAAGATGACAATGCAACTTCATTCATATCAATTTTGCATACAGATCATTCAGAGAACTCAAGTGGGACAAAACCTCCATCCCTTTATACATTTATTTATAATATATGCAGGCATTATAGTAAGAAGCCCTTGAATTCTATAGGAGACAAACTGAAGAATTAGATAGTACCTTGTCTTGGCCACAGAGCCTAATTGTTGTTGTGCCTGAATTAGGTTGCTCAACTGCTTTTGGAGTGCCATATCTTTACCATGGGCCTGTCGTATGAAGGGATGTTCTAAAAGATGAGTGACTGATGGACGTTTTTCAAAATCCTTAATTAGACACCTGAAAAATACAATAATCAGATTATTCAAATAGATACACATAGCTCTGGTACAAATTTTTACCACTTGCCTTTACCACAATTCTGGGTCTTAGGCAATTTTTGGATTTGGCTTCAGCTGTATATTGAACTGCCTTGTATGCAAGAATAAATCCAATGTATTATTTAATCCCGATAATATCATTACAATTAGCATATTTCAGCCCTAAAGGTAAAAGTGCAAATCTGCTAATTAATTGACTTCAATGCATGGCACATTCGTTTTCTCTACAATAATAGTTTATTCTAAATTTGCAAATCCTCATGTTTATTTATTTATTTGTTTAAAAAAGAATTATATAGCCACTCATCTCGTACCGAACTCTGTAACTTCTTCACACTTAGAAATGTAATTAAACTGAATTTATCAATATTGTCTATGAAAAAAAAATAACTTACCTAGATAGTTAGGCAACAAAAATAATCCATAACAAAAATTCAATAAATGATCAGTATTAAGTGTAAACGTACAATGTTCTCCCTTTACCAGTCATCTAAATAATGTATTTTATTAATGACAAAAGGCAAAAGATACTCACGTCACCAAATTCAGCTTCCATCGTTATTAAAGAATATAAACGCAAAACTCTTACAATAATCCCATCAGTAATATCTGTCAGTCTGATGAACCTCCATATTTTTTATTTCCTTTAAAAAAAAGAATCAATTTCTGGGCTCTTCTGAATATTTCAAGAACAAACCGCCCGGGAAATGTTGTCTTTTCCAAATGCTCATGAGATACTGCTCCTGTTGGACCTGGAGCCTCCTGATATAAAAACTAAAACAATAAAACCTACTATCTAAAATCTAGCCACCTCCGCAGAGATTTAAATACCACTCACAGCCTCCAATAAAAATAAATCCATCATTTGGTTTTTATGGTTCTGGTTCCTTTTGTTTCTCTAATCATGTTTTTTTTTTAATTTGTATCTCAGTGTCTCCAGGACTTTTTTTTTTTTTAAGCGCTCATCAATCTCTAGAAATATATAACCCCTCTCGTAGAAAACCTGGTAAAATTAGTATATGCCTAAAGTTTAAAAAAAAAGTATAAAAGTATAAACTGTTTTAAAATGCTTCATTTACAGTGAAATTATTGATGGTTCATGGCAGATCTTTAAAAGTAAACTGAACTGATTAGAACAATGTTGCATATACATTTACCATGACTCACCTCTGTAAACTGGCTGGAATTCCAAGGCTCACTGACTGCTTTGGAAATGCTTCCAGCCTGTGATTCTGTGATGGAAAGGAAAGAATCTCCATACACCAGTCACCCTGCTGCCTTTCCTTCACCATCCAAAGAGCTCCCTCTAACGGGACCCTCAAGCGAAGCCTTTTCTGCCACCCCCCATTTGGAACATCATTCCCCCTGAACTGAGATTAGCCCTTGTGGCTTTGTGGCTTTCCAGAAATACCTTGAAACGTTGTTTTTTTTTTTTAAAGCAGGCTAGGGAATCCTTGAGTTTTAAGCAGCCTGCAAGATGGTTCTGTTATATATGAGATCTTGGAGCATTCTCTCGTGATCTTTATGTTTTATATTTTATTTGTTTGTCATGGTCATTTAAGATTTGTTTTAACTATATGCTTTATTGTATGCCACGCAGAGTCACAGTCAGAGAGATCGGTGGCTGTGTAAACTTGAAAAATAAATAGCACATGCCTCAGTCCACCTGTGGAACAATCCAAAAACCCTATATGAGAAATCATTTCATGGGGGTTCCAATTTTCTGGCAGTAATCCACCAGACAACGCTAGTTGCAGACAAGAGATAAATATCAATATCAGTGGATCCAGAAAAACATTATGGCTTCGAGAAATAGGAAAAGCTTACAGGAAAACTCTTATCCCCCCTAAACAGAACTCTTTAGAAGATCCAGAGGGAGCGAGAATGAAAGGGAGAATCCTGAAAAAAGGAAAGGGGCTGGTTGGCACAATAAATTTAGTCTTATAGGTCTGATTTCTTTATGATATACACAAATACACATCGTAGGTGACCAGACATCAAAGTTAACCAACTAGGAGTGGTTACTGCCATTATGATTACCAGTAGTTGTCCCAATTCTATAATTGTCTTGCTGTCAAAATCACCCAGGAAATCAGGAGATTCAGGCAGTTCAAATGAATATAAAGATTTAGTGCAAGTTTAAGCTTTCTATAAGAATCCGGCCAACTGACTGTTAAGAGAAGTACAAGAAAGATAAGAGAGGCATTCAAGGTGGGCTGGATTTAGATTTCTTGCTGATGCGAAGGGACTTTTGACTTATGATGCATTTGACCTCTTCCTAGGGCTCAGCCTGGTCACCTCCTACAGTTGCCTCCTGAATATAGTTGGCAACTACTAATGGAGTAAAATCCGTAGGGACTCCTTCACCGTTTTTACCTGAATATAAAACCAGTAGCCTGCATTTCCAACTTCCATTAAATAATCAGTTTTTACATAGATCAGAAATTGCCCATTTTAAAATGATGGAATCTTTGCTTCTAAAAAGCTACAAGAAGCTTCCTCATGCTTATTAGTCATGTGAGCAAATGAATATTATAACTAGCTGTCACAACTTGGTGAAATGGTTTATTAAACTAGCAGCTGCATAATTGAATGACCCCAATGTAAAAAGCAAAAATAAGCAAACCAAGTCCCTGAACAGAGAACATTCGATTTTAAGGGACATAGTTCCAGGACATTTTCTTACTGATAGGTCACCAACACCCTATGTAATACACTATGATGTGGCATAGTGCAGGAAATTTTCATTATATGCTCTAGTGCTTGTATACACTGGTGATTAGTTGTCTAGATCAGTGGTCACCAACCAGTGGGGCGGGGACCACTGGTGGTCCACAAGAAAATTTTGGTGGTCCGCAGAGAAATGCCACCCCCCCATAGCACCCCTCAAAGCAATTATTCCAGGCTACATGGGAACACAAGGCTGCTCCACCCACATGGCCCGTGGGAACACAAGGCTTGTGTCACTTGCATTGTGAACAACACAAGGTAGTGAGGGGAGGGGGGAAAGGGCAGATGGGGGAAACTTGCCCCACTTGCTCCATGTGTCTTGCCTGACCCTGGGCTGCTTCTTACCGCTTCTTTTTTCTTCTGCTTTTGGCTGCACACAAGGAAAGCAGCAAAAGTTTGCTCCGCCAGAAATGAGTCTTTGGGACCCTGCAAGGCATCCTGCTCCAAGAGGCTGCGCCAGCAAAGACTCAATTCTGGCGGAGTTTGGGGGAGAGAAAGAAAGACTTCTGCTGCTTCTGCTGCTCTCCTTTCATGAAGTCAAAAGTCTCTCTCTCTCTCCCCCCCTCCCTGAGAACGGAGCTGGAGATGGTATCCTGCGATCCCAAATAAAGAATGATCGATTGGCAGGAAAATGGGATGGGGAACTTTCCTGCAGACTTTTTTTGGGATTTTTCCAAGGTCTCTGGTCCGCGGGATTTAAAATTATGAGTTTGGTGGTCCCTGAGAACCAAAAAGTTGGCGACCCCTGATCTAGATAAAAGGCTCTGCCCCATCCCCCTTTGTCTTAAACTGTGTAGTTTTAAAAAAATGAAAGTATTGGATTATTTCAATTTAAGCTATCATGGGCATCAAGAATATAAAACTGTGGTTAGAATGAGATTTAGCAAAGTAGCAACATACTCTGGAACCAAAGTACCTTTACTCAGAACCGCTGAGCTTAGTCAGGCTTGCCCAAGTAAGAACACATATGAAGAATTCCTGTATGTGTGCCATCAGTCTGAGAATTTCCATGACATATTCTTGAAAGTTCAGATGTGCCCACTAGCCTCAAATGCCTTCATTAACCGAATAACCGAAAAACAGAGTTGGAAGAGACCTTAGCGGTCTTTAGTCCAACACCCCGCTCTGGAAATCCCCTGCTCAGAAAACCTGCTGTCCCACTGCTCAGGAAACCCGACACCATTTCAGACAAATGGTTGTCCAATGTCTTCCTAAAAACTTCCAGCGTTGGAGCATCCACAACTTCTGGAGACAAGTCGTTCCACTGATTAATTGTTCCAATTGTCAGGAAATTTCTTCTTAGTTCTAAGTTGCTTCTCTCCTTTATCAGTTTCCACCCATTGCTTCTTGTCCTGCCCTCAGGTGCTTTGGAGAATAGCTTGACTCCCTCTTCTTTGTGGCAACCCCTGAGATACTGGAACATGGCTATCATGTTTCCCCTTGTCCTTCTTTTCATTAAACTAGACATACATAGTTCCAGCAACCATTCTTCATATGTTTTAGCCTCCAGTCCCCTAATCATCTTTGTTGCTCTTCTCTGCACTTTTTCTAGAGTCTCAACATCTTCTTTACAACATGGCGACCAAAACTGGATGCAGTATTCCAAGTGTGGCCTTACCAAGGCATTATAAACTGGTATTACGACTTCATGTGATCTTGATTCTATTAAGTGCAGGTTATTTGCGAAACTGCCTCTCCTTTAGTGTAGGCACACTCCAGGTCCCTTTCAACTGTTTCCTGATTAATATTAAACCAGTTCTGGGTTGAATACATACACCATTAAAAAAAAAAACTATCCCCTTTCCCATTGACTGGAACATAGTCCTCCCACTAGAGTTAACTATTTAAGAGCCACATTTTAGAGTCCATAATTGATGGCTAACATTTCAATACAAAATGTGCACATATTGGCTTAGTTCTAAGATTCCTTTGGGTGGGCCAGGAATTAAGAGTCATTTCAGGGATCTTTCTGTTTATTTTGAGCTTACTTGAAGCTTCTCGGAGTTATAACATGCAAGATGGGCAGCTATATAATTTTTTTATAATAATAAATACATAAAATATTTTGTTTCTTGGTGTGTATGCATGCCAATCTGCACAAAGATTTTGGAAGGCCCATGACTTATACGTCCATGAATCAAGGCTTATATAAATTAAAAAAACACGGGAAATTGTGGTTCATTGTTATTTCTCATAAATGTTTTGTAAAGCAAGGGAAAAGTGCAAGGA